TTCCATATGACAAAGGAAATGTTCCTGCTGCATTGAGTGAACATCATTCCCCCTTGCAGCCTCTCCATTGCCTGCTGTCTCAGTCGAGTGGATGCTTTAGAAACCAAGTCTCGCACGCACGTGGTGCTGGCAACCAAGTCATTGCTCTGGCCTTAAAAGAAAATGCCATAAGATCAAATATGTGAGCTAAATTCAGGGGGGTTAGGGAGTGGGGGAGTTCAGCGTGAGATGAACACCCTGTATAAACGTGGGGGGCTAACATCTGGGCCTAGTTATACATTAGCCACCCCACAGAGAGAACTGTAGGTTGCCATGATGTAACAGGGGGGCAGACTGTGGAGCATATGTTTTTGTGACTAGTCTTTACTGTGTGTTCTTTTGATCATACTAGTATGATACTCAAGGATAAGGCACCATGAGGATGCAGGACAGGAAACCATTTAATTGGAGGAACCACTGAACAGTTAAAAGCTGTCTATGTGTAACGCCTTAAATTACAAGAGAAAATTAAACTGCTGCCTTTGAGAATCAATACAAATAGCTCATGTTCATGGTCTTTCAGGGCTTCTGGAAAGGTGCTGACTGACCTCAATCCCCATGGAAGCCAAAGGGAGTTGAGTGTTCGGCATCATTCAGGATCAGCCCCTAAATAAATCCTAGCAGCAATTCACTTTTCTCCATGTTTGAGGTACATGACATTCTGGACTGTAAGCCAAATTCTCAGCACAGCTCCACTGAGCTCTTTCATTTACTTGACATCAATAGAGCTAGGCCAATTGACAAGCTGAGGAATAGGCCCTGTAAATGTATTTTATCAATGTCTGTGCATTTGCATTTTGGCTGGGACAGGAAAGCATTTCTTCCCATCTACAGATGATAGTAAACCTCAGCTCCTTCTTTTTAAATATCAAACAGTAAAGTTCTTAAACGACAGTAGAAAAATCAAGATGGAAATTGTTTTCTGTCATCTGACCATAGTTTCTGTTGTTGTCTGAGTCACAAAGATCATCTTTTTTTTTTCTCCACTGGACTGTTTGCCAGTAAGGGAGCTCACACATGTATAACATGTGTTTAACACACATCTGAGTGTAACACAGATGTGTTTTCTGTGACTGTTTTCAACCTGTACAAGAGTGTGCAGCTTCTGTGAAAGATTAATAGACTATATACTCTGATGCAACTCATCACAGGCCAAAAACATCAGCAGCCCCTTTTCCTACTTAACCACAATAAAATCCAGTAGAAGTATCAAACCAGAGCCCTCTTTTGTTGTTGGTTTTTTCTGGTAATAAAGACTAAAGGCTTAAGAATTTCAACTTCCTTTGCCTTTCTTGTGTCTTTTGGGGTTTTTTTTTAAATGTCCTCTAGTCCAGTTCTTCTCAAAGCCGGTCCGCCACTTGTTCAGGGAAAGCTCCTGGTGGGCCGGGCCGGCTTGTTTACCTGCCGCATCTGCAGGTTTGGCCGATCGCGGCTCCCACT